TAATAATTTTTATTGTTATTATTCCCCATACAATTGCAGCCACCCCCATTCTGACCCCAATCCCTCCCCTCCACCCCCGCCCACCCTAAAAGTGTCTCTGGTTCATAGTTTTTTGTTGATTTTGATTTTCACTTTCTTATAGTTATTCATTTTCCTGGTCCCTTATTTAAGTTTTCTAGATTCCTGCTATGAGTGAGACCATCCGGTATTTTTCTTTTCTTTTTGGCTTATTTCGCTGAGCATGATCCCTTCCAGCGCCATCCATGTTGCTGCAAATTGCATGTGTTTATCTTTTTTTGAATGCTGAGTAATATTCCATGGTATATATGTACCACATCTTCTTGATCCAGTCATCTATTTTTGGGCATTTGGGTTGTTTCCAAAGCTTAGCTATTGTAAACAGTGCTGCTATAAACATAGGGGTGCAGGTGTTCTTTGGAATTGATGTTTCTGTGTCCTTTGGGTAAATACCTAGGAGTGGAATTGCTGGATCATATGGAAGCTCTATGTTTAGTAGGTCCAGAAATCTCCATACAGCTTTCCACAGTGGTGGACCAGTTTGCACTCCCACCAACAGTGCAGAAGAGTTCCTTTTTCTCCACACCCTCGCCAATTTGTGTTGTTGCTAGTTTTTTTAATATGTGCCATTCTCACTGGTGTAAGATGGTATCTCATGGTAGTTTTTGATTTGCATTTCCCTGATGACAAGTGATGTTGAACATTTTTTCATATGCCTGTTGGCCATTTGCATTTCCTCTTCAGAGAAGTTTCTTTTAGCTCTTCTGCCCATTTTTTGACTGGATTATTTTCTTGTTGTTGTTGAGTCTCATCAGCTCTTTGCAGATTTTTGTGATCAGTCCTTTATCATTAGTGTTGGGTGCAAAAATGTTCTCCCAGTTGGTGGGGTTTCTCTTTGTTTTTGTTATTGTCTCTTTTGCTGTGCAAAAGCTCTTTAATTTGATGTAGTCCAGCTGTTTATCTTTGCCTTCACTATCACTGCTTTGGGTGATGTGTCTGTAAAGATGTCTTGATGTGCAAATCACGTAGTGTTTCGCCTATATTTCCTTCTATATATTTTATGGTTTCAGGTCTTATGTCTAGTTCTTTAATCCATTTTGAGTTGATTTTTGTGTATGGTGTGAGGTGGTGGTCAAGCTTCATTCTTTTGCATGTAGCGACCCAGTTTTCCCAGCACCATTTATTGAACAAACTTTTCTTTGCTCCAATGCATATTCTTTGCTCCTTTGTCAAAGATTAGTTGACCATAAATCTGTGGGTTTATTTCTGGATTTTCTATTCGATTCTATTGGTCTGTATGTCTGTTCTTGTTCCAATACCATGCAGTTTTGATGATTATGGCTTTTAGTATAGTTTGAAGTCTGGGAGTCTGATGCCTCCATTCCTTTTTTTTTTTTCAGGAGAGCTTTGGCTATTCGGGGTTTTTGGTGATTCCATATGAATTTCATCAATAATTGTTCTATTTCTTTGAAGAATGACATTGAAATTTTGATTGGAATAGCATTGAATGGGTATATTGCTTTTGGTAGGATGGCCATTTTAATAATGTTTATTCTTCCAATCCATGAGCAGGGGACGTCTCTCCATTTCTTTGTGCCTTCTTCTATTTCTTTTAACAGTGTTTTATAGTTTTCTTTGTATAGATCCTTTACCTCTTTTGTTAGATTTATTCCCAAATATTTGATTTTTTTTGTTTCAATAACAAAAGGGATGGTCTTTTTGATTTCTTCTTCTTCAGATTTATTGTTTGTGTATAGGAAGGCTACTGACTTTTGCGTGTTGATTTTGTATCCTGCCACTTTACTGAACTGATTGATGAGTTGAATTAGCTTTTCTGTGGAGTTTTTGGGGTTCTCTATGTATATATCATATCATCTGCAAATAGTGATAGTTTGACTTCTTCTTTTCCTATTTGGATTCCTTGGATGTCTTTCTCTTGTCTTATTGCCCTGGCTAGGACTTCCAGTATTATATTGAAAAGCAATGGTGAGAGTGGACATCCTTGTCTTGTTCCAGATCTTAATGGAATTGCTTTCAGCTTTTCACCATTGAGAATGATACTGGCTGTTGGCTTGTCATAGATGGCCTTTATGATGTTGAGGTATGTTCCTTGTATCCCCAGAATTTCAAGGGCTTTTATCATGAATGGGTGTTGCACTTTGTCGAAAGCTTTCTCAGCATCTATTGATATTATCATATGGTTTTATATTTCTTTTTGTTGATGTGTTGGATAACGTTGATTGATTTTCGGATGTTAAACCATCCTTGTGCCCCTGGAATGAATCCAACTTGGTCGTGGTGAATTATCTTCTGGATACATTGTTGGATTCTGATAGCTAAAATTTTATTGAGGATTTTTGCATCAGTGTTCATTAGGGAGATTGGCCTGTAGTTTTCCTTTTTTTGTGTTGTCCTTGTTCGGTTTTGGTATTAGTGTAATGTTGGCTTCATAAAACGTGTTTGGTATTGTCCCTTCCTTCTCAATTTTTTGGAAGAGTTTGTGAAGGATAGGCACTAATTCGTCTCTGAATGTTTGGTAGAATTCATTTGTAAATCCATCAGGTCCTGGGCTTTTGTTTTTGGGGAGGTTTTTGATTACCATTTCAATTTCGCTAATTGTAATTGGTCTGTTTAGGTGTTCTATTTCTTCTTTATCTAGCTTTGGGTGATTGTAGAGTTGTAGGAATTTGTCCATCTCCTCTAGATTGTTAAACTTGTTTCCATATAACTGTTCATAGTAGTTACTGATTATTCTTTTGATTTCTGCTGTGTCCGTTGTGATTTCTCCTCTTTCATTGATGATCCTGTTTATTTGTGCTTTCTTCCTTTTTTCCTTTGTGAGCCTGGCTAGGGGTTTGTCTATTTTATTGATTTTTTCAAAAAACCAGCTCTTGGTTTCATTGATCTTTTGGATTGTTTTTTTAGTTTCAATTTCATTTATTTCTGCTTTGGTTTTTATTATTTCTTTTCTTCTACTGGTTTTGGGGTTTTTTTGTTGTTCTTTTTCTAGATCTTTGAGCTTCGAGATGAGGTTGTTTCTTTGCGTTCTTTCTTGTTTCTTGATGTGAGCTTCTATTGCTATATATTTTCCTCTTATTACTGCTTTTGCTGCATCCCATACATTTAGGATATTAGTGTCCTCCTTGTTTTCAATTCAAAAAATTTTTTAATTTCTTCTTTGATCTCCTCATTAGTCCAATGGTCTTCCAGTAGTGTGGTTTTTAATCTCCATGAGGTAGGAAAGTTCCTTGCCTTCTTTTTATGGTTTATTTCTAGTTTGATGCCTTCATGGTCAGAAAAGATGGTTGATATGATTTCAATCTTGGTGTATCTGTTGATGTTTGTCTTGTGCCCCAGTATGTGATCGATCCTAGAGAATGATCCGTGTGCGCTTGAGAAAAATGTGTACTCCTTTTTTTTGGGTTTAGTGTTCTATAGATGTCTGTTAAGCCTAATTGCTCTAGGTCCTTATTTAGAGCTTTGGTTTCTTTACTTATTTTTTGTCTTGTTGATCTATCCATTGTTGATAGTGGTGTGTTGAAGTCTCCCACTACGTATGTGTTTTCTCTGATGTCTGTTTTCAGAGAGGACAACAGTTGTCTGATATATTTTGGTGCTCCTTCGTTTGGTGAATATATGTTAATGAGTGTTATTTCTTCTTGAAGTATTGTCCCCTTGATCATAATGTAGTGACCATTGGGGTCTCTTTTTATCTTTTTGAGTTTGAAATCTGTTTTATCTGATATAAGTATAGCTGTTCCTGCTTTCTTTTTTGGTCCATTTGCTTGTAGGATTGTTTTCCATCCTTTAACTTTGAGCCTATTTTTATCTTTTGTAGCTAAATGTGTTTCCTGGAGACAGCAAAAGGTTGGGTTTTGTTTCTTAATCCAGCCTGCAACTCTGTGTCTTTTTATTGAAGAGTTTAGTCCATTTACATTTAGAGTTAATATTGATATGTTAGCATCTGTATTTGCCATTGTGTTTGTCTTTCTTTTGATTTTATTTATTTATTCTTTTAATAACTTTCTTTGGCCTTCTTTTGTTGTTATTCGTCCCTCTGAGGTTCTGGCTTTAGGACTCCTTGTAGTATTTTTTGGAGTGGGGGTTTAGTCGTAATAAAATTCCAGAGTTTCTGTTTGTCTGGGAAGGTCCTTATTCTTTCTTCAAAGAGGAAGGAGAGCTTTGTGGGATAGAGTATTCTTGGTTGGCATCTGTTTTCTTGGAGTCTGTTGACTATGTCCCTCCACTCTCTCCTTGCCCGTAGTGTTTCTTCAGAGAAGTCTGATGTCAGTCGTCCACAGACTGTTTTAATGTTTATACAGTACTTCTTGAGAATAGGAATTAATTTAATCTTCCCAACAATTCTGCAGAGTAGGAATTTTCTATCCAATGTGGAGATATAAAAGCTG